TTCTGATTAATTATTATTCCGTTATAACAATAAATATTAAAAACCAAGATGGCGAGTTTAAAAAAAATATCGATTATGGTATTGAACCCTTCGTGTGCGAGTTCGACTCGCACTTGTCCGATTTTTCTTATTTTTCCACTGCTGGACCAAGCTTCCCTTCAATACTATAAAATGGTCCTATGTAGGTACTTCAAGGGGTAAAAAATTATACCACCCCTAAGGGTGTAATATTTAAGAGTTATTATTTTTACTGTATACCTTTTTAGTTAAAAAGTAGTTATATAACGCTTAAGCAGCATTTGTTAAATTCTTTTGCATGTCTGCTAATATTAATAACTGTTTAAAACTTTCACTGCCAATAAATTTGGTTAAGAGTAAAATTATCTGTGTTTTAATCGTGATAACATACCAGTCAAACTGCAGCCTGTAGGAGAAAGCTAGTCTAAACACTAAACAGTACATAATAATTGAAATTATAAGTAAGATTACGTTAGCGTAGCGTTTACGAATATTATAGTCATTAATTTATATATATAATAGGCTATCTAGATATATTATAAGAATTTATGAAGTTTTTACAAAACATTAAGTGAAAGTGAAATGAACATACTTCCTAACTAACACAAAGCAAAACTTTTCCTCTCTATAAAATATGATTTCTACGTAAACGTCCATTAAAATGTCCATTAATCTCTTCTGTTTATGTATTGTAAAGCGTGAAACTTTTAGCGTTAGTGATGAAGCTTTGGAAGTTTATGGAAGCTCTAACTACAAAGCTTTCATCGTTGATGAATCGCACGAAAAGGAATTAAAAAGGTGATTGAACTTTTTAATATTTGGTTAACCATTTCAAATCATTTACAAATTTTAATAGAAAGCAAATTCCACTTTGAGGTCTGTATATCTGCTTAAACTTATTATGTGGAGTACATATTTGATTTTTTGGGATCTGTGGTTGAAGGGTCAAAACCCTTTTACCAACCATACAGAGGTTTTTAGGGATGAATGCTTTTAGACATTAAAAAGAAGTTTATGATTTTTTACTTTAAAAAATATGGGTATGTTGAGGTGAGTTGAGTTGAGCAGAATTTGAAAAGAAAGTAAAAATGGTATGAATTTTAATCGTTATTAATAATTAACATTAGGTTTGTGCCAGTGATACGAAAACCGGGCGTGCTGATGAGATCTAATAGATGGATAGACGAATATCTAATAAACATTAATATTTCTGCATTTATATGCTGTATCAATAGTGTTCACTGCTGGTGAATTTTATATTAGGTACTCGTACTTAGGACCTATGCAGGCGATACAAACGCAGTATTATAGCTTTTTTAAATATATGAGCGTAGAATATGTACAGACGACGAACATCCTACTAATATTATAAATGCGAAAGTTTGTAAGGATGTATGGATGTCTGGATGTATAGACGTATGGATGCTTGTTACTATTTCACGCAAAAACTACTGAATGGATTTTAAAATATAGCTAATATAGGTCATATATAACATAGGTCATATATAACATAGGTAATATACATCAGAATAACACATAGGCTACTTTTTATCCCGGAAAACCGGCGAACCCGAGCGAAACAAGGGTGAGCCGATAGTTTATAATACGCGCGTCATTATGATGATGATGATGTTCTCCTAGCCGATTCCGGCCACGGCGGCCAATCTCATTGTGACTAGCCAACAGCGCAGGAGATATTATAGTGCACAAGTATACGCGCAGACACAAGTGCACTCTCTATTCCTGTCACTCTCATACTCCGGTGGGACGACTGCTCGACACAAACAGTAAGAGTTAAGGCGCAGGACCGACGGCTTTACGTGCTCTCCGAGGCACGGGGTTGATACATCGCCAACTTTCCAACTCCGGGCTGTTACTGAGACTTACTATACAGAAAGACTCAATAACTAAACTTGGTCCGACCCGGCACTCGAACCCAGGACCTCCGAGTGTGCAGCCGTACATGCTAGCCACTACACCACCGAGGCCTTTATAAAATGCGGTGTGTATAGGCCCTTACACCGTCAGTGAATATACGAGTAGTTAATCTTAGGTTTCCAATCCACGTACCATACAAGTTCTAAGTGAGTTAAGCGGATGAATCTACTTTGACGAATAAGTCGGGTAAGTTGTCAGTTTTCGAGTACACAATATTATAAAGCAAATATTTACACGTGAGCGCTTTTCAAACACGATGTGTATCTTTAATTTATATTGTTAACTTATATGAAGTATTACCTATTACATTATTACCTACTACATAATTTGCAATTGCTAAAAACAAATTAAAAATTAACTTTAGTGGGGGCGGAAAAATGTTCCTAGAGTTTATAAATATAATATTCATATAAATATGTCTATGTATTTAATAGATACACTGATTTAACGTAAAATTTAGGAAATTTTACGAGGAAACTATATATGGCAAAAAATAAATTATTCATAAATTTTTAAGTACTTATTGAAATTTCAATTTGAAAATTTCAAATTCTAACATTTTTTTAACAATAAATAAATTGTAAGACTTCGCTAACTTCCGTACTCCAGGCCATTACTGATGATTTCTTGACAGAAACATCAGACCATAGCTTGGTCCGACCTGGGAATCGAACCCAAGACCATCGGATAGTAGAATAAATATATAATTTATCGGCAATTTTATTATATTTGTAGAACATATCTAAGGATGGGATGGGTAAAGTTCATGGTGCTTGTTGGCAGATTATATATGCACCTGGATTCATATACATAGATACGCTTGTACTTTACAGAGTGCAGTACCTAACTAATGAAGTTACGTATTAATAAAGTTAACAAAATTTTACTAACCATTGATTGTTAACTACATTAAAATTAGGGTAATTATGTTGCACAGTATACGTAATTATAGGTATAATACCAAAATAATGTTAGTACTTTCTGTTTTGGTATTACATAAGGTTTATAACATACTATCGATTCGGCTTCGCTTCGAAACCAACACTTGGCGACAAAATGTATTGTGGCTTGAGATATTTATTTCCTCAAAATATTAGCAAAATTCACTTACAGAGAAATGCAAGGTCACCAATAAAATTAAAACTTACGTGTCGTCGGTCAAAGCAATTTCAGTATAGATGTATAGATGAGAATTCATTGTTTTAAGCTATTTAATTTATATAAGTCATATACACAAGAGTATGTACCTAAATTATTAAGTAATGAAAAATGAGTACAGAATCGCGCATCGAGAGTTTCCTAGTATGAGACATTATGTTACGTAATTTGTTCGTTAAGTTAAATATTTACCTATCAACAATATTCATTTTATTGAAGGCATTCATAAGTTTGTATTTCATAGCATATTCATTAGAAGCAAAGTTAATTTTGCAACCGAATGCACGGAACCGTACCTAAATATCCCATATATTAAAAATTAAATTCGAATTTGATATTTGTGTTTTGTAAGATCTCGTTTCTTACAAAATTTCATGATAAATAGGGTTAGTAAGTTTTGATTTTCTTGTATTAACTTAGAATCATAATTTTTTATAGTTCCAATAGACTGTAGACTTAAGTATTTGATGTTAATTTCAATTTAATACCTTCAAGCATTTTTGAGAGAAAGGGACTAAAGGGACAGACGGATAACGAAGTAACCCTATAAGGGTCCCTATTTCCCATTTTAGGTATTGAACCCTAAAAAGGTATGTTATATTGTGTTAGTTGCTTTTTAGATTATTACCATCATTATTGTAGTAGGTACTAGAAACGTAAACTTATGACTTTTCTCTCTTCTCAAATCGTATTCAGTAACACTTGAAACATCATCATTCTCATCTTGAAAGATGTTCATCTTAAAATTTGTTTGTCAACTTTGAGTTCTTTCTAGAAACGTCTTATACAAACAAGGTATAAAAGCCTATGACATTTTATTTCATACTACTTAATTCTAAATTATAACATTGTGTTTACTGTGAATAGCACAGATCTGTGATCATTTAACCCGACCCCAGAGTTAATGGACGTCGATAGAATAAAAAGAGAATAAAAGGTGAAATTCTAAGCCTCCACCCATATACGTCTGACCCCATTACACGTGAGACTTGTTATTGACGCTTTTACAACTGAAATCAAGAAAGGATTTTATAGATCATATCTGTTCATCGGGTTCTAACTGAAGGGCCTAAACTCCAAACAAGTAAAAAACCATACAGTGCTGAAGCGTCAATATTTCGCCTTCGAAAGTTGTTTCACAGCAGATTTTTAGAGGCTCTATGCATATATGCATGCTATTTCATGTGTTTAAAATTGATATTTTTAAAAGACCTGTTTTTGATTGAGTATTATTTTTAATCGATCGAAAAATTTCTCAGTTACAATGTATGCGTATGTTTTGTTTGTGAGACGCAGTCTACGTTGTTTTTCTTTTTAACTAAGAAATATTTAGTGTCACTGAAAATTAGTATTCATGATTAATTTTTAAAGTGATTTTGAACTGTCAGGAACTCATAAGTTTTGGAAATAATTTAAATTGTATTTTTATAAATAAAAATCAAAATTAGTAAATAATATTTGTATTGTCTTACATTTAGAACAATATATAAACTTAACCTAACTTGACTAAACCAATGAAACTGATAACTTTTCTTAACTTAACAGCTGATATGAGTATTTCTTTGATAGAAGTTTTTACAGCGGTAAAACTAAATACAACTAAGTTTAAAGTAATTATTACAGTATAAATATTATTGCTTATGAAAATTTAAACAGTGGTGGGTATACGAAATATTTAGAATATTATGATATTTAAAATATATAAACATAAATATATGTAAATTTTTATATAACATTACAAGATAATTCAAAAATAAAGATTTTTCAGATCGGTCTTCTATGAATAGATTTTTGTTAATAAATATGTATTTGTAATGACCACCGTTCAAAAATTTGGTAAAGTTAGATTATTTTATGCCCAGAAAATACTTAAGTTAAAATAATTAATTTTTAGCCCTTTGACGACTTTGTCCCTGGGAATCTTGTTGCTCGTTGTGCGTTGGCCTCTTCGATTGATGCTGGGGACTCTGAAAATATTTTAATAATAATAATAATAAACTCTTTATTGTACACCAAGAATAAAAGAAAAATAAATAAACAGAGAGTAGAAATGTACAAGAGGATGTTTTATTAGTAAGATTAGATATGAATCCTTTTTAAGGTCAATACATGTAGTATTTATTTATTTTCTATATAATCTTTAAAAATCTCATAAAATGAAACTAAAATATTTAAATAACTATTTTTTTAATCGGAGTTCATGGGTTTTCCATCTAATTTGTTTGTTGGTATATAAGTATTTCATTTAGTACAAATATTATTTATTCTATAGAACAAAAAGATAGTTGTAGAACAATGTAACAGTCTACCATTTATTTCGTCATATTGTTGTAAACTGTGCCGTTATGACAAAAGCCAGATATCACGAATTCAATCAAGTGAATAATATTGGGAAAGGGTCCAGGTGCGCTATCTTTCCACTAATGCATTATAAAGTCGCCATTTTGATATTTACATGAACAAACAAAAATCTACGTCAGTTCTATCTTATCCGACTGACTTAGAAGGAAGGTAATGTATTTATTATGTTATATTTAAGGGGAAAAATGTACCTAAATGTTGTGTACTGATTCACATTATAATGCCAGGCTAGTTGAAATTAATTTGTAAGGCATGTTTTATTTAAATTAATGCTATAATTTCTTTTATAATTGCATGTTATAACATTACAAATTAGACAAATATATTTATTTCAATCAAACCCTCTATTCGTGAATGCAAGTTTCATTAAAATCGTTTCAGATATCAGCGGATACAATTCGACTAGCGAATATTTTGAAGGTTTCTGATTATATATATATACTTTAACCATAGGTATACTCAAATATAACTCAATAGATGTAAATCATACTTCACATGTTTACCACGGCCTTAATTTTTAACTGTTTTTCGTATTGTTTTTGTGTAACACAGTCCTTGCTTTTAATCTCAGTTTCACAACTGAATAAACAAGTTATATTTTGGGAAAGATATGTTACACCAATATAGCTGTGGCTTCTTTATATTGAAATAATGTTATTTGCAATATTTCATCTTAATTTTTAGGGCTTTTTGTGACGATATATCAAGACAAGGGTTATTGGACCGGTCAATACCTAAGGTCATTTTCTATCATAACTAATAACATAGACTTGATTCTCTCAATATCTCTTATACCGTATATACGTTTTGTATGACATATGATGTTATTATAATCTATAGTTACCTACATGTTCTACTACCCAGCGGCTCGACGACCGACTTAATAAAAACTAATGTAGCGGCAACAGATATACATAATCTGTGAAAATTTCAACTGTCTAACTATCACGGTTCTTGAGATACAGCCTGGTGACAGACGGACAGACAGACGGACGGACAGCGGAGTCTTAGTAATATGGTTCTATTTTACTCTTTGGGTACGGAACCCTAAAAAGCGTTATCTCCCTTTTTAGTATTAGGAAATGCGTTCACGACTACCACATACAGATATAAAAGTAGTTATGGGTCTTAGAAAAGCTAGTTCTATAGTTATATCTCAACGGAACCATCACTGTCCCAATGGGACGCTGCAGTATCACAGTAAAATCCAGCTTAACTCGTGCAAACTTGAGACGTCGTGAATCAAAAGTCAAAATAAATTCGCGAAAAATTCTTTCAGCAAGTCTTTTTGTTACGTAATTAATTTTGTCTTCGGGAGTAGTAGCAGCTTAAATCTATTTTTCGTCTATAACGGGACTATATCTTATAATATTATATACATTGATATCGTACAGACAAGAATCCATCTCTATATCTGGTCAATTTTGAAACAATACAATTTCATATCAAACCTGTCTCAACTCCTCTTCGTAGTCAATCGGAGCTGGTGTTGTAGTAGGTATATCGCACTCCTCAGTAGGCGGCACTACACATCTTAATGAACGTCTATCGAACACCAACATGGCTGGGCATCTCTGGAGACGAGGGTATCCGCCTTGGCACTGCCAGTACCTATTGCAAGACTTGCCGAGAGGCACGTTACCGTTGGGATCTTCGTTGCAAAGAGCTGAAACGGACGAAAAAGTTGATATTTATAAAAATTGTTTAAAATTAACAAATATTGTAAGGTGTCATCTTTGTATTTTTGAAAATCATTGTATAATTTTGTGGGTAGGTGATGTCTGTAAGTGTACCGACTATATAAATGACCTTTGAGATGTCTAAAACCTTAGTTTCTCTCGTGACCATGATTTTTGTAAAGCATTTGAAACGTTGTGCACCAAAAGTCAAAATAAATTCGCAAAAAATTCTTTCAAGGATTATTTTTGTAATATAATGAATTTTGTTGTTGGAAGTAGTAGCAGCTTAACCTATTTTTTGCTTATAATGGGACTATCTTATAATATTGAATCCCCAGGTGTGGAAGCATCATTCAGAAAAATACGAGTTACCTATATAGAAGGTACATATTATATTAAGGTATTCAGCCCTTTTTAATGTCCCACTGCTGGGCACGGGCCTCCTTTCAATACGAGAGGGATTAGGCCATAGTCTACCTCGCTGGCCAAGTGCGGGTTGGCGGACTTCATAATCGTTGGCTCACTATTACAAGGTTCTATGTTAATTTCAATAAAGTTTAGTAATTTTTACATAGAACTTCGTTATTTTGCTATCGTAAAAAAAACAACATATAACTATGTAAAATTGAATATTTTGTAGTTAAAGTGCCGCTACCTAGTGGTTTGTTTTTGCAAAACTGTAGCTAATGACACACAGAACCTTGTAGCATTAATAACTAAATAAGTACTAAAATTGTAACATAGAATCTTGTAATTGTGAGTCAATTATGTCTTTCGAAAACTTGCTAGGTTCTCTCAGACATGTAGATTTCCTTACGATGTTTTCCTTCACCGTAAGGCAAGTGGTAATCATGTTAGAAATGAATCGCACATAAATATCAAAGGTGCGAGACCCGGGATTTGAACCCGCTTCACTCGGTTTCCCAAGCGAGCGCGTTACCATTGGGCTGCCACTGCCTTAATATTAAGAGCGGAAACATTTTTAATTTGCACTTATTGAATATTAATTATTCCTTTTCTAATACTCTTTGTCGTAAAGTAATACTTTACTGATCCTCCCTTGTGTATTGCTTTTTTACTTTAGTTAAAATTATCGTTGAAATAAAATTATGAACTAAAACAGCTGCATTATTCCTAAAAAATATAAATTGAGAATAATGACTTTAACAATAATTGATGAAGACATAGCGTAACCTAACACGAAAAATACAGAACCAAATGAGCAACTTCTTTCTTTTAAAGTCGGTTAAAAAGAGCTTAGAATTTGGGATTTGTATTTGACTTCCACGCAAAAGTTATGAAGGAATTCCCAGACGGCCAACAATGAGTATTGTTGATCCATCCATTGAATCAGTAATTGAATGTCTGTGTTCAGAGATTCTTCAAAGATTATATGGAACGTGAGCTGACTTTTTATTTAAAACTCTAATTCCTGTACGTAACAGGATGCTTTTAAATAAAAAGTCAGCTTCATTGAGGTGTTTTTAAGAAGTCTATTTTACTGTTGAAATTGTTTCTTCGATACGATTTTCATACTAATGTTTAATTAAGCCAACTTTCTTTCAAGAATTGTTTGTATTTTCGCCTTAATTAATAAGGAAATATGTATATTCGAGAAATACATGACGCGTTGTTACTAACGCCACATAACGTGTGTATAATGAAAAAATATACATATTCAGTTTTAATTGACTCAGCAGATCCAGAGGTTCTGGGTTCGTGTTTAATTATTGAGTTAAACAGGGCCCGGGTAAGTTTTAATGAAATTTCAAATAAATTATACTTCATTTATTAATTCTTGTAAAACTGTTAAAACCCTCCTGTTAAAACCCTCTGTACGTTTAGATCCTAACTAGATCTCACATGGTCTTTTTTAGTATCCGACCAATCCTATCATTAGGTAAGTTATCTCTCGCCAAAAAACTTGTATCTATCTTAAAAAAGACAAAAATATTACTAAGATACATCTATTAGGTTCTCCTGTAATCTATTGCAAAATATATCCTTCGAAGCTTATAGTTAAAAAGTTATACCGTTAAGACTTAGCGAGATAGATTAATTGTCAAATTTTAAAGATGACTTATGAATTACTAGCATTGCCCGCGGCTCCGCCCGCGTTTAGATGACCAAAAACCAAATTCTTAGGTTTTACATATTAGTATACTCTTACAATGCAGTTTTTGTATTTTTTCTCAGAAATGAGATATTTTCCCACAATAAAAAGTATCCTATATGTTGGCCCGACTAACCAGCTACCATCATACCGAATTTCATCAAAATCCCTCCAGTGGTTTTCCCGTGATGCGGTAACAGACAGACAGACAGACAAAAATTCTAAAAACTATAGATTCGGCCTCTGTATCGATAATAATGTCTATTTCAATAAGATTTTCCAAAAAATATTTAATGTACAGATTCGGCTGAGTTACAATTTTATTATATGTATAGATTAACGATTTATCTTTGTTTACTGACTTTACGTAACACTATAAATCATTGTGCATTATCTTCTTTAAGTAATTAAGGTGAAAGTGAGTAAAATGTCAGAGGATCGATTATGAAAGTGGAGGCTCAACGGTACTCATATCATTACTGTAATGGATCAATCTATGATGTAAAGAAAAAATTTACCCCCTAGAGTATTGTAAACGTTTGAAATATTAAGGCTCCATTAGCAAATAAATAGTACTAAACTTATTATTCTGCACGAAGACGTCACGTAATGTTATTTTTATAGCTGTTCTATACAAAAATCGAATATGCATTACATATAATGCACATTAGATTTTTGTATAGAACAGCTAAGTAAGTGTATAAGTAACTGAGAATAATGAAAATTTAATTTTATTGCTGTATTATAATAATATAACAATAAAAATTGTTTATTAAATTTATATATCATAATAGCATTTAATTATTGCTATGGTCGTCTAAACATTTTTAACTCCATACTTTTTTATTGATGCTACTTCCTTCTGCGTATATATTTATCATAAGGCAAGTGATCAAAGAAATTAGAATCCTGTAAAAAGATTTGCCTCATTGAAGATAAAAATATAAGGTCTTTAAATAAAATAATAAAAATAAGGTTTGTAAATAAGGACCTTAGTCTCAACCTTTAGAAATTAATTTTGCCGAATTTATGAGAAATTTTAATTCGCTCTTCAATTTCAACATTTATCTACTGCCTACACTGCTATTTCTGCTATACCAATGGACGATATTAGATTTTCATTAAATTAATACACTTATTTATAGATCCTGTCAAATATTTTTTATGATCTAATATGGAAATAAAGTTACAAAAGTTGTTAAATTATCAATTGTTACCTAAGGAGGTTATGTATGATTGTTACAGATTGAATAATGTCTAACTCCTAAACTAGAAAACTTATAGGACCCTGATTTTGTGCATATATAATCGATTTTTTTCATAAAATTTATTATATTAAGGACTTACGATGTTTTTGACAGCCATCAACATTTTCAGGCCAATCACAAGAGTGTGCGTTCTCATTATACAGAAGACCGCCAATGCAGAGTTGCTCAGTCGCAGTCCCGTTCCAGCACGTCCAATATCTCGTGCAAGAGGTTTCGTGTCCGAAGATGCCGTACAGCCAGTCACAATGCTCAGTACCGATTGGCGGATCTGAAAGCAGAGCACTAGTTTTTAGATATTTTTCAGATATCACGATAATATTATTGTTATTATTATAACCTATACGCGTATATGCTATGTAGGTAGATAAGTTTTTTAAAATGGAGATAAGCGCTTATTTTATTTATACTAGCAGTACCCGCGGCTACGCCCGCATTGAAACTTCCAATCGCTAATCTGATTGCCTGAAAATTTCATGAAAATCGCTCCAGTCGTTTTGAAGTCCATAGGGTCATACATACACATATTGGTTTTTATATATACCTAGATATTTCCTTTATTGAAGATAATTCTTAGTCTACTGCTGAATAATTATAAAAAAATAAAAGCTGCTTACCCTCGCTTCCCTCGGGTTCGCTTCTATGAAAAGAAAAAACAAGCCTATCCCATAGGAAATGCATATTTTTCCGGGATAAAATGTAGCCTATGTGTTATTCCAGAGTATAATCTATCTCTGTGCCAAATTTCATCTAGATCCGTTCAGCTGTTCTGGCGTGAAAGAGTAACAAACATCCATACATTCCCATAAACTTTCATATTTATAATATTAAAAATACGGATCACTATTAAGTACTAATTAGTAAGTACATATATTATACTGGTCATAATAGAATAAGAAAAAAATTGTCACAAATAATTCGAAAACCTGTTCAAAAATACGTACTTATCTGTACTTTAGGGTATTCGCAGTAGTTCGATCTCCATGGATAATCACAACCCTCCGTCACTCCTCTATGCTTCCCCGCGAAGACCAGTCCATTGGGGCAGTCATACTGCACAGATTGACCGTTCTCGCACTCCCAGAACTTGTCACAGTATTTGTCATCAGCTACTACACGAGATTTGATTTTGCACGGATCTTCTACTTGTGCGCATGATGCGATCATTAAACTGGCTAGTAGGACTGAAATAGAAAAAATATTTATTGAATATTATATAATACTAGTAGAACCCGCAGCTACACCAGCGTTCAATCTACGAAAAAACGTAGGTGGGTGAAAAATACTTTACGACTTTTTCTCATACCTACCAAATATACAAAAAAAATAATTGAAATCGGTCGACCCTTTTCGGAGTGCGACCACAAATGTCGTGACATGAGATATTTATATATTAGATTATTTATTCAGAATATAGATCAGATAATATCGGTTTTTAATTATTAATTTTTTATATTTTATTAAAGCACATGATTTTTTTTACTATACAACCTGTCTAAACTCAAAAAATGTTTAAGCACAAACGGTTTTTAGTTAATTTTAATTCATAACTTAATTATCATGATCAGTGATCACTGAATATATTTGAAATTATCTAATATTTAACTGAAACAGAGTTTCCAGTATATTAATTAAATGTTAAAACCAATTTTCCGGCAAAAGTTCAACGTTGCGGAAAGCAATCATCAGCGGTAAATGATTACAAATTCATTTAGCATATTCACACGTTGCTAGAAATTATGTGTAGACACGCAATATTTAGATAATTTGGCAAGTCGTGATTGTGCATGAGGAAGCTTTAACAATACATATACTTGTATATAACTTATATGTAAGCTATTATGTATTCTTTCGACGACACATTTGGCTCAGTTTGGAGTGACCCTACTTGTTGAGCCAGAGGTCGCGGATTTGAGTCCTACTGGTGGAATTCATGTGTTTATATTTATAATATGTATGTATTTAAAGTTATATATGTGAAGTGTATCAACTATCTGGTATCCATAAGTCTAGTAGCCTACCATGGAACTAGATGGTGATGTGTGTTAATGTCCCAATATGTTTATATATTTATATTCTGACTTAGATGACCGTATAGGGGCTTACTCAATATGAGACGTATTGTTTCGATTGTACTACAAAATACCTGAAAACTCTTGAGGTATTTTAAAGCTAATAAAGGCTTAAAGCGTAAATACTTAAATGAGCGAAGATCGTAATATATGATATATATATATATATATATATATATATATATATATATATATATATATAAGTAAAAATTGTTTATATTTTACGAAAATGCAATATGTTAAATGAATAAACATGGTTTGAATAAAACGAGATACTAGGATGGAAGTTGTTTTCTTTCTGAATTGGATATTATCGGAAATAAATAATTAAAATTTGGAAATAACGGATAATTTTTTATAAATATTAATAAATAACGTGAATTTTTTACACTGTTAAAATAAATTAAATCTATATAGGTATAATAATTTTAAATAAAATCCACAAATGTATTTAATATCCGGGCGAGTTTTTTGTATATCAATTAATTTAATGAATTAAGCTGCCGATCTTATCCAGTTCATATTTATATATAAAATGAAACTACATTGTTTTTATAATAAAAGCGTGGTTAAATATCTTCAAAAATATTATACTATTATTCTATAATATTTTGCTAGAATTTTTTGTAATGCAAATGTTGTTTTTAGAATAATTGCTATATAAATTTATAAATATGTTGGGACATAAAAACAACACCATCTAGTTCCATGATAAGTTACGAGGCTTGTGTTATGGATACTAGATAGTTGATACACTACACATATATAAACTTTTAATACATACATATTATAGGTAAATATAAATATAAACACCCATGACTGGAGTACAAACATTCGTGCTCATCACACAAATGAATGCCTCCAGCGGGACTCGAACCCAAGACCGCTGGCACAGCAAATAGGGTCACTACAAACTGAGCCAAACGTGCCATCGTTTTTAAATGGGATTTAGCTACCATGTGTATTATCTATCTAGTAGTGACTTAATCGTGCGTCGCTCGGCCGTGTCCCTAGGAACCTAACTGTAGCGTATGTGTTATTCCAGATTTTACTTTGTGTACCAAATTTATCCAAATCAACCGTTTCAGACACATATAAACTTTAGCATTTATATGTGATAGTCCAATAAACGCTGTTATATTAAGTCCGCTTTATATTGAAATACGTAGGTTTAAGAGCAAAGAGTAACTTTAAGGTATGTAATGAATGTTTTTACCTTAAGGGGATGCAATATAGATATCAAAAAGAAGAGAAAATATTTATTTTAAGGAGGTTTTTAAGTCAAAGTTATTATTATCCCATATACCATAAAAAATAAATATCCAGTATAGATACATTACTGATATGGCTCTCCAAAACATCCCTTTAACATAATGTCTTAAAAAATATTTATTGTATAATCTTGATTTATCAAAATATTTTTTTGTAGTTTTCAGGATATTTATGAATATGTTACGTATATATGCATAAATAATATGGTACATGTTCAAACATAACCGCTAAATTGCCTTACGTATGTACATAGTTCATAACATGTTATGCGCAGGTGAAAGTTCTTCCGACTTATGTAACTTATGACATTGACGAGTCGCTCGCACGATGTTTCATCTGAATCGAAATGGATCATTCATATCTTTGACGTATTAACGAATTTGACTAATGTTCTACGCTTTAGAATATTCTATTGTGGTTATACTAATTACTTAAAGCAGTTGTAGCCCAGTGGTATCGCGCTCACTTGGGAAATAAGTGATGTGGGTTCAAATCCCGGTTCCGCCCCTCTGATATTTCATATGCGATCCATTTCCAACATGACCACTTGTCTTATAGCGAAGGAAAACGTCGTGAGGAAACCTGTAAGTCTGAGAGATCATAGCAAGTTTTGGAAAGATATGTATAGTCCGCCAACCCGCACTTGGCCAGCGTGGTGAACTATGGCCTCATCCCCATAGCATTGAAGGGAGGCCCTTAACCAGCAGCGGCCGTTGAAATGTATTGAATACAATTACTTAAAGCATTTCAGATAAAAGTCATTTTAAGTGAAATTTATATTTATCTATTTAACATCGCTTGGACTCAAAGACACATAAAACTTCTATCCACTTCAGATATTTTTATATGTATGTGTCCTGAGAAAAGGAAAATTTTCCATTTGCGTTATCAATGAACAGCCTATGTCACTTTCGCATGAATACTTTACCAACCATTGAATCTCGTTAAAATCAAGTCGTTATTTTATTACATCATAAAACCTTTCATATTTCAAGAGTCATTCTATCTTGATTTTTCTATCCACATATGAATATGTCTTTAAAATGATTTCAGCAGTTCTGGACATTAGTGTGTATTAACAGACATACAGACAAAAAAGGCAGTTCGTGCCTGAATAAATAACCATCGTTCGTGTTATTTCTTATACAAATAACCATCTTAGCTCAATACGAAGTTGGTTTTTAAAGTGACAGACATTTCAATGCTATTTATCGGTATAATAAATAATTAAGTAGATAAATTAAATAGATATTATCAAGATGGATATATCAATCAAACTTTCATAGTTATTATTTCTAAATAATCATTTGATTTATTTGACGGTAATTCGGTATACGTGTTGTTCGTGTATGCGTGAGTAAATTCATAATTGTTTTATTCTAATAGATGTAATGATTCATTTTGAAGGTATTCCTTCTGCAATTAATATTTAATTAATCTAACTTAATTTTTTACATAGTTTTTGCTCATTTAATTTTGAATCACGTAGGTATATTTTATTTTTGAGTGTTTTAGAGTATGTTTAGGAAACTAGCGGACTTCCACAGTTGAACTATAGTTATGAACTATAGTTTATAGTATACAAATACTTATAAGTATACAAGAAAAATAATCAAAATCGGTGAAGCCGTTTGGGAAGAGAATTACAAACACACTCACGCCAAAGCTGTATGTGTATATAAAGATATATGTATTTATTTTAAAACTAAATCCGCGCCCGCTTCATTCATCCTCTTAATTACTCTATGTAAAAAATATTTATAAAACTTCTATCCACTGTACTTGTTCCGGGAAAAGATTAGCCTATGTAATCTGGTCAGAATCCTCTAAATTTTTAAGGCTTGAGAAAAATTCTAGCCAAGGTACTGCGTTTACTTTCTACGCATGTGTTCTGATACATGTATTATTTAGACTAAAAAAATACACTGACTTTAAAAGAAGATTAAATGAAAAATTAAAAAAAACCTCGACCATCTGGACATATTTTCATCAAACATAGCTAAGAACACTCCTTGCACCTTTGAAACAAAAAAAAACAAAATCATAATCGGTTCATCAGTTTGGGAGGTACGATGCCACACACAGACGGACACATAGACACGTCAAACTCATAATACCCCGTCGTTTTTGCGTCGGCGGTTAATGACTTTAATAGTAATTAATTGCCTTGCTTCTTAGGGTCGCAGAAAATCTTTCTCAATAAATCTATACATACTCGTATAATAAAATTCTAACGAAGCCAAATCTGTACATTAAATATTTTTTGGAAAATCTTATTAAAATAGACATTATTTTTGATACAGAGGCCGAAACAATAGTTTTTAGAATTTTTGTCTGTCTGTCTGTCTGTCTGTCTATTACTGCATCACAGAAAAACCAGTGGAGGGATTTTGATGAAATTTGGTATGATGATAGCTGGTTATCCAGGTCAACATATAGGATACTTTTTACCGCGGGAAAATATGTCCTTTCTGAGAAAAAATACAAAAACTGCAATATAAGAGTATACTAATATGTACTATTCTAATATGTAAAACCTAAGAATTTGGTTTTTGGTCATCTGAACGCGGGCGGAGACGCGGGCAATGCTAGTTGTCTATAAAATATTAAAAAAATGTTGGAACCAAAATAATACTTCTAAACATTAGCGTGGTTAAGCAGATAACACAAGCTCTTCAAATATTGTACCATAAATACGCACATAAATCTTTGCTCGCCGCTTTGAGCGTTCAAATGCAAATCAACAAGACTCTTCGTAATCTTGTAAATACGCTCTGATTCATATTCCACTTTCGTGTCTAAATGCTATTTCGTGCATTGAATGTATAGTGCATTCAATA